TTGGGTCCACATAATGACTTATCAGTGTGACTTTGAGTATGCAAACAAATGCACAACCTTGTGAGGCGAGCATTGCTGTCTTTATTTTAGAGATGAACAAAGAAATATTCCAGTGTGTTAACATTTTATTGCTTTATCAGATAATCATTCAAAAAACATTTCTTTAATACCTTCTATGTGTCAGACACAAAGCATAATTAGTGAGCAAAACAGACCAAGCCCCTTTCTTCCCACATAAATATTAACCCTCTTGTGTGGGGAAGCAGTCAATAAACAAGTAAACATGGCCAGTGGCTTTGGAGGAGGACAGCAGAATAAGGTGGCCAGGGCATGGTGGGGAGAGGGGAGTGGGCTGGGGCAGGGAAGGGAAGGGAAGTCTGCAAATACTTTTATGACAAGGTGATGGTGAGCAGAGACTGAAGGAAGAGAGGGGGTAAACCATGTGGTATCTAAGCAGAGACCACCTAGCACAAAAGTCCTCTGCCAGGGATGTGCCTGGCCTGTTCAAAGAACAGGAGGTCAGTGTGCCTGGAGCAGAGAGGTGGGTAAAGTCTGAGAGGTGACAGGGGCCAGCAGGTGTAAACTCTGTTGGCCACTGAAGGGTTTGAGTAGGGTTTCCGTGGCTGGGCACCCTGACAGGCCATTCTTGCTGCTGTGAAAGGACACCCAGGACATGAGGGTGAGCCAGCTCAGTGATTCAGTGAGGGTTTGGTGCAGTGATTCAAGTAGGAGACAGCTACTACTAAGGGGTGGTAGTAGTGAGATGTGATTGGCTTCTGGATATATTGTGAAAGTAACTAATTGCGTTTGTTAATGCTTTAGCTTAGAGTTGTGAGAGAATAAAATAAGTCAAAGATGACTATAAGGTTTTAGGTTGGGCAACTGAAAGGAATGGAATTTTCATTTGCAGAAATGGGGGTGAGCAGATTGGAAGGAAAATAAAAATTAGGAGCTTCATTTCGCATATGATACATTTCAGCAGAGGAGCTGGGTGTACCAGCCTGGAGTCCAGGAGAGAGATCACTCTGGCTTTCTTAATCTTCACGTGATGTTCAAGGTCAAGGGAGTGAGTGGGTCCACCTGGAACTAAAGAAGAGTGTCTGGGGCTGAGCCCTGAGGCGTTCATGCATTTAGATGTCTGCAGGATGAGAAGCAAACAGCAAAGAGAAATAAGATGGTATGAAGCCAAAGAAACAGTCAGGGGTGGTCTCCTGACAGCCAACCAGAAAATGTGTTTCAAGGATTTTGAGTAATAATCCAAAGGATGCTGAGAGACAGAGTAAGCTGGGAACTGATAACTGATGATTGGATTTCCCCAGAGGGCTCAGTGATGTCTTTGACAAAGAGCAGCTATTGTGCACTGCATGGAAGGGCCAAATTCTGATTGCAGTGGGTTCAAGAATGGCAAGAGAGAGGAGGGGATAAAGCAGACATCTCTTTGAGAACCTTTGTGTGAAGAGAAGCTGAGAAATACTGCAGAAGCTGTAGAAGGACATGGGGTAGAAGAAGAGAGTATAATGATTTTTATTTTTGCTTTGTTTTGTTCTCCATGGGAGATATAGCATGTTGGTGTATTGATATAGAGAGTAAAAAAAGTATGGTGCAGGAGAGGGGCAAGCCAGGAGTTGTCCTTGGGCAGGTGAGAAGCACTGGGCTCCACTTCCCACTGCAGGGCAACCAGGAGCACAGTGTGCCATGAGCATGACATCAGGGAAGGATAGACAGGCAGTGGATGAGAGGGGAGGTCCATGGAAATCCTCTTTGCATTGCACCATTTCATTCTGGAAGTCAAACTTGAGAGTGCAGAGGAAAAGGATGAATATTTAAAGAGACAATGAAGTGTGGCTTGAGCACAAAGGAGAAAGAAGCAAACAGGATCAGCTGCAGAGGTGCAAGCACGGCATGGCCTGAGTTAGTTAACTGAGGATGGCTGCACTGCAGTGAGTAACTACTCTCTAGCACTGCAGTCCAGGGCTTCTCCTACTCAGCTATCCATCCGTCTGTCCATAAGCACCTCTCACCACTCCACTCTCCTCCTCCTTTCACGGGAATAACAGAAGGACCAGGAGTGTAAGAGGCTTCATCTAGGGCTTCACTCCGCTTTGTTTTTGTTTGGTTTTATGGGCCAAGAGTTAGATGCAACTCATTTGCTCTAAAGGGAATGTTAACTCCCTTTCAGCAAACCAATGTTCAGCAAACCAATGTCCTTGAAATTGAAGTGGCTCGCATGTCAAGTAGGAACACCAGGGCTTGGCTGTGGCTTGCCCGGAGGCTGCAGCCCTAGGGCCTCTCAATCTGAGGACATCAGCTTGTTCATCAAATGCTTGTTAAGGACCCACTGTGACAAGTGCTCTTCTGGGCAATGGAAACAAAGCTCCCCCACCCCCAACAAGACATTATGGAGTTTACAGCTTGGCAGGGGTTGCCCTAGGGGTGGATGCATCTAGAACTGCATTGTCTGGGTTTGTTCTTCTCATTGGATGCACAGGCAATAGGGAGGAGCCTCGCTCCCCCTCCACACATGTGGTGCTGGGCTGGAGCTCTTCACAGGCTGATGATGCCCAGCTACCTCACCACAGTTGATGTTGGGTTGGCTGGAGGGTGCCTTAATGGAGAGAAGAGCATCTAGGCTGTAAACAGAATCTGTGCACTTTTTATGCATGGAGGAGCTCAGGGCATGCCTCTGGGACCTTTATCAATCCTAACAAGGTAGCAGGCACAGGCCTAAATGGTCTTTCCTTGGAGTTCAAGCTGAAGTCAAGGGAGAGGGCCCATAAACTACCCCTGGGGAGACTGGGGAGGGGAAAGGGAGTAGGTCTTCAATATAAATTGTGTGTGCCAGCCCACTGCCTCCTTGTTCCCCAACTGCCTTGCCCACTCTGCCTGCCTAGTTGTCCTTAGTGATGGTTATTTGGGTGAAATTAGCAGAAATCCTCATTTTAGGTCTCAAGCAGGATTTATTTAGAATACACAGACTCAAAGAGCAGAGAGTACAGCTGGACCACATAATGGAGCTTTCCAACTACTCCTGTCCCCTGTGAGCTGCACATCTCACTCCTAGAGATAACAAATCTCTCATCCCCACTTTTCTCTTTGAATTTGTTTCATCCTGTTGTAGTTCCTTCTGCTTCTCTGCCTCCCACTACCCACACTCCTGAGTGCAAGGTTTTCAGTCATAGGCACAGAAAACCCCTGAGGACCTAATGAGGTTTGAATCACAGCTCTGTGCTCCTGGGACAGAAAATTGGGTTGACCAGCCTGGGCCGGAATCTATACCATCCAGTCAGTTGTTCTGATGGGACCCCTTCATGGTGCTTCCCAGCTGCCTGGACCCCATTCCCATGGGCAGCAGTTCTCAGCTGCATCCGTGAGGTTTGTGCCCTACACAGGGGTGCAGTGAGGGGACTGAAATCCAGTTCCCTCTGCCTTCATGCTGGGCTCCCATTTGAGCTGCATCCCTGGCAGAATAAACTCCTGTTTCCAACTCACAGCAGGACCTCACAGGGGCTCTCAACTGCCATCTTGTGTGTCAGTGGATCACCCCCAGAAGAATCTACATCTCTCAGGTCCCTGCTTTACCACTACTTTTAGGAACCCTTGATGGTGCCCTCACTTCCTGACCCCTGTCCTACACTTACTATGCTTTAGGAAAATGCTCACTGAATTGTAAGCCAGTCCCCCCAGACTACAGGCTCCATGAAAGCAGGGAGCCCACTGTCTCGCTTACCAGTCTCCATACCAATTAGTACAGGCCTAGCATCGCAGATATCAGCTGACTAATGAGGGTCAGAGCTATGTAGAGCTCAGTAGGCCATAATCTTTTTGTTTTGTGCGACATCATTGTAAAGAGTCAATATCATCCCTAAAAATGAACCCAGAGGTTGTTAATTCCTAGTGTTACAATAGTAGTAGAATGTGTGGAACCAGCACTGCACAGGCAATTTGATCTATAAGACCCCCACCAAGAGGCTTCTCCCCACCTTTCAGTGGAGACGGAGAAGCTCAAGTTGAATGACTTGTAGAGCTCCAGTTGGTGTTTGAGCTTTGCTGACAGTGTAAATAGAGGCAGGTGTGAGCTGATTCCAGCTCTGTGGAATGCAGGGAACAGCAAGTGGAGATGGAGCCAAATGGCTTCCCCACACACTATTCCAATGAATCGTCCTGCCTGCCAATGATGCTAATCTTCAGGGTCAGAGCTGGGACAACTGAGACTCACCTTCATGTCACACACATCTCAGCACACCCACATGCCTCTCACCGTGGCCTCAAACCCTTCTTTCTTCCTCCTGTCCCTAAGCAATCACCAGCGGTCACCCTACAGGTAACTGAGAGGTTCTGAGCACAGTGGTGACCTGGTAACATCTGGACCTGTGGGCAAAAAGGTCAGAGGACGCACTAGCCTGGACTTGGACATTGGGGGTGTTTGTGTGGGCCTCTCCTTTCCAGCGTGGCTGACTGCAGACCAGAGAGAATGTAGTAGAAAGTGTGAAGGGCTGACCTCTGTGAGCTGGGTTCATCGGTTTGCAGTGTGCAGGACAGGGCTGGCTGGCAGCAGCCGAGAGAATCAGCTGCCAGAAGGGCCTCTGCACAGGACAGAAAAGGCCCAGGGAGCTAGGTCCTCACCAGTGCCTTCAGGGACAGCCTCTTACCTTCCACAAAGCCTGACAAGTACAGTGTGGAGGTGTCTTTCCCCACAGCTGTCAAACACCTGGCCTCGCCCAGAGCTATCCGTCTGGAGCAGAGGGCTGGCTTGCCTTTAGGAGGGGTTCCAGCCAAACCGTGGACACGCAGAGAAAAAGGTATGCTTTTCCCAGCTCCGCATCAGTGGACCAGGAGAGGCAGGTAGCGCCTAGAACCCTTGCTCATGTTTCAAATTACAGTGGCTTGTATTCCAGTAACCATTGCAGCTGGGATCACACACCCTTCTGTGTAGGGTTTGAGGGAGAAAAACCAAGTCTGGAAAATTCCAAACAGTAATACCAATTCAACTCATTGGCAGCTATATTTGAATACATGTCTTTATTAGGACAATTATAAGTGCATATACATATTTTTATTAATATGACTTCAAAGGAGAAATTGTTTCTCAAAAGGAGTTGTTACTTGTTAAAAAAAGCACACTGCATGTAGGAAGCTGCCTTCTCCTGGACCATTTTCACATTATTTGGGAGATGCAATTTAAACAACACAAAATACAGTATTTATCACATTTAACACTGAACCTGTCACTAGTCAGAGACTGAGAGTCCAGCGAGGTGGCAGGATAACACTTTTCCTGTGGGGTTCTCAACTTGGTTGTCAGTGGTCTGCTGAGGGGATATGGACGTTTCTAGGGAGCATTTCCCAGGGATGGGGTTCCCTCAGAATGGGTCAGGGGAGATGTGTAGAGGGATCAGGACCCCACAATTCTCATCCAGCTGCAAAAGGCGCCACACCTGGGAAAGGTGATGACGTCCCTGCCAGGGAATCCATGGCGATCACACCAGGCCATGGTCAGAAAAGGAGGGTGAAATGAGATCAATGGAAAGGCTTAGAAACTCTTCGGACTGCACACGGAGGCACCGCAGCCTTTGCTGCTACACAGCACCTCTGCTCAGACAAGCAGAGGGCCCCTTGTGAGGCTCCTCGCTGGGGTCTCAGCACCTGGCCTGAGCGAACAGGACAAACAACAGCACAAACAACACAGGGCACAGATTCCAACACATAGCACATCTGCGACCCCCATCCCCCGCCCGAAGCAAAGACTGGCAGCAGAGGACTCCCTGGAGGTTACACTGAGCCCAAGGGAAGGTTGGGGAAAGGCGGCACCGGGCCTGGAGGAACAGCTGAGTGACTCCTAATCACCTGAGGCACTTGACTTGTATTTTGAAAGCAACAGGGAATGCCTATTCCTTTGCAAATGGCCTATTTAAATGCATATTTGCTTTAGCTGAGAAGTCACCTTTTAGGAGCAGATTGAAAGTAGAGGAATTGTTACACAAATAATTTTCCTCACAGTTTCTACTCTTAGCTATTTTTCCCCTTATAGGGGACAAACAGAAATGATTCTTTATTTAATTGTAGTTAAGACTTAGGGGAGTATTTATTTCCTCAGAGTAACAGATTAAATGGTTCTGGTTCATGGATTTCAGGGGAAGATGCTTCCAAATTTTTCACCAGATTTTTAAATATCTTGGATTGTCTAGCAAATGACCCTCCCACTAAAACGTCAATAATTTCAGGTACAATTCAGGAGCTGTGTAGTGACAGGTTAATTTCAAATGAGGATTTCAAAACTAGTTCTGTATCTCTTATAACTAATAAAAGTCCCATATATTTTTAAAAAACCATTTTTTTAATATAACAATATAACATAGTTTGGAGGAGGTTAGTTTTTGTTTGGTTGGCCTTCTACCATGAATATCCAATTTTAAGGAATACTTATGGAAATACCTAACACATGTTACTAATAACCCAAAGGTTACTGAATCTAAAAACACCTACAATTCAAGATAATTTTACTATAAAATGCTTTCTGCATGTTATTTGCACTGTCCTGTCAATTGATCCATTTCCTTGTTTTGCCCTTCTTTTTTTATACTTTCTTAATTTTAAAAATTTTACTGAGATCTTTAACCAAAGGAGCAAAGTATTAGTGAGACCAATTGAAAAACAAAACAAAACAAAAAACCTTCAAGTGCCTACCTTTTTAAAAGTGAAATTTTAAAATTGTTTAATGTAACTCTACAATTGCCCGAGGTAAGAGAAACACCAGAAACATTAGGGTCCTTAACCAGCTGTCCCAAATGTCCCATCATTTTCTAAGAGGAATGGTCTGCTGGATGTCCTGAAAGCACAGGATAACAGCAGCACAAGGGCACGGCAAGGTCCAGGGGCCACTGTGTAAGGTAAGAGATGATGGGGTTGCCAAATGGTGACAAAAAATGAGGTTAGATTTTAATGAGGAGGAAAAAAAAAAAAGCCCAAGTTGGGTTATTTTATGGATCGGGATTTCGAAACCAAAAAAAGTTGAGAATTCTTTTCTTGTTATTTCTGTTAGTCCAAAATAATGCTGGACTTGACACAACAAGATAAAACTTACTACAGTTCTGACATATCAGCATCTATGGAAACAGTGAGGGTCAGTGTCCTCAGAGGTCAGTGCTGCTGCAAAGCAAAGTCCATTGGACTCCATTGATCCCCTTTGGCTTTGTGATCAGTGGGGAAACAAGGTCATCCACCCAAATTATCATAGCCCTAGTCAGGGGCCTGGTCAAAGACCCGGAGGGGCATGTCCTCACTCTCAGCCTCTGCATACGTATGAGGAACTGACAACGCAGCACTGAGGACACTGGCTTTGACCATAAGCACAGGATTGGACAACACACAATATTCCAAACTAGACACAGATGTGCACAGTGTTTCCGGGACTTGATAACAGAATATGTTTTGATTTGCTTCTTGGTGCCCAGTTTAAATTAAAGCTTTCGTCTTGAGAGAGTCCTTTTCCGTGGTCATGGAGATAGTATCAGATGCACATGATGATGGATGAGAGAGAGAATGATGAGAAGAACGTGATGGGATGCAGAGGAGAGCTCGGATGAAGGGTGCATCTTGCCCTGCTCTGGCCTCACATTCCTGCCTGCCGCGGCTCAGGGATGCCCCTGTGATCTCACTGAAGGAAGGTGAGCCTCCTGCCTGGCCCTCCACCACCCTCTGGGGCACAGGGCGGCCTTCACTAGGGTTTGCCCATGCTGACTGGTCCCAACTTGATGCCTCTGGGGGGCTCTCCATCCCAGAACTTGATCATGTGGACAAGGCTCCCTCAGGCTGGGATCCCAGCCTGTGCAGCTTAGAGGATCATAAAACTCAGGAACCCTAGTCAGACCAGGGGCTCCATGGGAAAGATATTATAATAATGTAAAATAATGGTTTTACTCTTAAGTTCCTGTCACCAGTGACATTGTGTAATCAAGCTAAATAAAAAAGAAACAGAATATATTTTGCTACATAATCAAATTGTGAAAGTAAGGCAAACTGTGCAAAACCAAGCCCTGGGAAATGCACTGGCCCTCCGGGGCTAGGAGCCCTTCCTATCACTGGTCTCAGACCTGGCCTCCTACTGTAAGGTTTCCTCAGGCGTCTGACCCAACCTGCGCCTCTCACATCTTGAACCTCCTGTTAACAGAAGAGAGGGAGACACCATTAAGGCAGGTTCCCGCAGCGGCCAGGCCTCACACTGAGACGCCAAGCCCGCCCGCTCCAGCAGGCCCCCCACTCCTGACCTCTTGAGTCCCAAATCGCCACGGCTGCATCTCCCTTCAGAGGCCCTGGGCAGGGAGGCTAGTAAGAGAGAGCATGGCCAAAGCAGAGGGATGGATGGCAGGTTGGAAGCGGAGGGGACAGGCTACAGCAAGTTCAGGGCATGGCGGATGAATGAGGACACGGAGCTGGCCTGGTACAGTGGTCACAGGACAGGGCAGGGCACACTGCCTTCTCCCAATGCAGACGTTACGTCCAGCCTCACCTGGAGCCCAGCGCAGGCTGCTGGCTCATCCAGGGCCTGGGTGCCACCCACTGCTTCCCCCACTACTCCCAGTCACCCTGGGAACTCTCAGTTGCCTGGCCAGGGGTAGCCCTGGGGCTGGGTGCAGGAGTGACCCTCTCACTGCTCACCTGGCACGGATGTGTGAACATTGCCCAGTTTCAACCCGCCACAGCATGAAGGTCTGGCTCTTCAGCTCTTCCCCAGTGACCCACTCTTTAGTGGGGCTGAGGCTATGCCCACTTGTCAGACACAGTGAGGCCCAGGGCCAGTGAAGTGATATAAGGGCAGGACTATGCTTCCTAACATGTTGCCAGCTCTTAGTCCCTGCAGCCTCTGCACCCCCAGGACAGGTAGGAGACACTGTCTCCCTGAGCATTGCAGAAAGCAGTTTGTAACCTCAGGGCAGCAATGGCTTGACTGCTGCTAGAGGGCAGTCAGCTGTCCTTGGTGCACAGGACGGACCTGTCACCCTCTCTAGGCACAGATATGCCTGCTCCCACTGCTCCCACAGTGTTAAGACTGAAGGACAGCATGGGGCACAGGTGGTACCCTCTCGTGGGTGCTTTTGTAAGAATTAGGACTAGCCCAGACATGCTCACACACACTGGACTTCTGCGCCTTCCTCAGAAAGGACAGAAGCCCTGGGCAGCTCAGCTAACATCCAGGTGCCTTCAGAGGTGAGAGGGCAGGATAAGTGAGCCCCCCCCCCCCCCCCCCCCCCCCGCCATACACACACAGCAGGCCTGCTACCCCCAGTGCTGGCAAGAGGGGCCCAGGCTGGGAGCCAGCCAGCCAAAAGGGTGGCGGTGAAAAACAAAAGATCTTCGGCTGCAGGGCCCTAGTGGGGTGCTTCTCCAGTGGAGAAAGGCAGGCTGTAATGCTCCATGCTGTAATCACAAAGGAGCACATTAGAGCTTGAGGGGGACACAGTGCTGTGTGGCTCAGGTGAATCTGACACGCAGGGACCTGCAGTTCTCGTCTCCTGAAATCCATCTGCTTTGTCCTCCATCCACTTCATCTTTCTGGATCCATGTACTGAAATTATAACCAGGGGTCTGGGGTGCAGGGTGTGTGTTTATGTGTGATGGGGGATGGGGAGAAGAGTGGATATTCAAGGCATCCTTTTTTCAAAGCACTGCTGACATCAGGGCCTTGCTCTCCCTCACCCTCCCTTGTGATCCCCCCTTTCCAGTCCAAATTAGAAAGACTTGGCAAGAAATCTCACACATAATTCTGTAGGGAGGGGAATGAGAAAAGTTCTAGAACTTGAACCATGTTCACTTTAAGCAGATATTTCCCATGAGTGAAGACTAAGGCAGCTGCGTCCTGAAACCTAATTGCACGGGATCATGGAGAGGGAGGGATAAGCTAGGAGTCCTGAAGCTGCAGCCCCTTCGCCAAGTTCCTCCATGTCGTCTGGGACCCGTGTAAGGAATCTACAAAATGAATTACCCAGCGAGGAGGTTCCCTGAGAAACACTTCACTCTCTGGCAGCGCAGGACTCATCTCAGCTCTCCCTGCATGGTCTGCAGAAATCCACCCTAGCTTGGAAGTAAGCTGCTCACACAGCCCCCAGCCCAGAGAAGAGAGGGGGTGGGAGGGCTGCAAAAGTCCCACTCCAGCAGGCAGAGAGGTGGAGGGCCAGGCAATGGACACTTGGGAAAAGGAGTCAGTTATCACCTGCAAATGTAATGTCCACAGCCAGCTCTGCCCCAGAAGGCCAGGATGGGTAGTACCAGTAGGGACAATGAAAGGGCACAAGGCACATGCCCCCTGCTGGCTGAGGCTCTGCTGCTGGGCTCACAGACTGCTCTGGGCAGTCACCAGGCGGCCACATGCTAGTCTCAGACAGGATGGTGGATCTGTCTTCTAAGGATTCAGGGCCTTCTAAGAGAGGAAACAAGAGGGCCAGAGGTGGGGGTGGGGGTGGGGGCTCAGTAGTCCAGGGCAATGCTGGAGACCCCAGCCACTCTGCAGAGCTCTGGGCCATTCTAGAGTCCTGAGGTCTTCTAGATAATCCTGAGCACAGTCTCTGAGTCTCAGGACCCAATCCCAGTCGCTGTACAACTACTTTCTTCATAACTTAGCAGACCCAGAGGAACCTTAATAAGCATAAATGCAGGAGCCAGTGTGGGGACAGGGGCTGCAAAGCGCTGCTCCCTCTGGGAAGTCTGAGGGCCACTCAGGAGGCAGGGTGTCTGCCCAGGGAGGTGAGAGCAGATTTACAAAGCATGGGGACAGGGCAGAGTGCACTGCAGTCCATCTCCAGGTGGTAGGTAACTAGTTTTTCCTTTTCTGAGCAGCCTTTCTCTTCTTCTGTCGCTTCTTTTTTCCTATCTTTTCTTTTTTCCCCACTTTTTCTTCTCTGCGTCCCCTTCGATAAAATTAGTAGAACCATTAATAATGTTGAAATAAACAAGAGTCTGTCTTAGTCTGCACAACATTTAACACTGGCCCGTGTATTGGTTTCACTGTCTTCAGTCTTAGGCCTGGAGGCCCCTGGGCAAAGCACTATCCATCCATACTCCATAAAATAAATGAGACATTTGCCCCGATTTAAAAAATGTTAGACGGGCTTCCACAACACCTGTGAACTGGTCACAGCAATTGACAATTTGCTGACTTGACCCTGGCTTTCCTATAGCCTGGGGCTTCCAGTGGAGGAAGGAATTCACAACTAAAAGGGTGTTAAGGCAGGCCAGCTGGGCTGCACACAGCTTCTATCTCACCCCAACCTGCTTTCCCCGGCTTCCTTCTTTCTCAAGGCAGAGCTGAACTCTGCTTTTTCTGAAAAATCTCTGCATTGCAAATCAGAGCTGGAGGCCCAAGGTTCAGAAGGCTATCCAGGAGCCGGGAAAGAAGGCGGCCCACATCACCTTCTCCTTTTTGGATGCCTATGGAGATCCCCTGGGCACAACTGGGATTGTTCTGGAGAGCGAGGAAAGAGCTGGTTAGCAGCATTTTATGAGAGCAACTTTCTCATGACTGTCACATTAAAATGATTCAAGCTGAATGGTATTTCATGATTTATGGGATAAAACCACCTGTTCCTGAGAAAGCTTGATATTAACCATGGGTTGGAATTATGGGATTTTTACATGGGAAAATGTGAAAGCTGGGTATTACCAGGGTTGAGTCTCTAGAGATTACATGGGGATGTTAGGAGAACTGAGGAGAAGGAAGGGGAAGAGGAATTAGTGAGTCAAATATTATTCTTCAAAAAACTAGTACTGCGGCTTCCACTGGGTTTAAAAAAAAAAAAGAGACACAAAAACTTGAGTTGCAAATCTAACTGCCTGCCCCTGAGGCGGCCCATGTACTGTCACATGTGACCTCGGCAGAAGAGATCTACAGCAGCTGATCACAGGCCAGCTCATCTTCATAAACTCAGGAAATGTCTAATAACTAATGGGTTTTATCATAGGTAAATAAATTCCCACATACAGTAGGATGTTTATATCATGAAACAATTAGCATTTTATTGCTAGTGCATATAATGTCACATTTAATACAATTTTAATACAAGTGAAAAAATACACTGTGGCTAACATTAAAAAGCTGCAATCACATTTCTATGTATATGTATTTCTTTACAAATTGCCAGTAGTTTAAGATAATAGAGAAATGTAACCTACTGACACTCGTATGGCTCCACTTCAAATGTATGAATTGATCGACTATAAATATATTCTGAAATACATTTGTTTTCTAAAGAAATGTTTAAAAAATTGTGCACAAAAATATATTAAAAAAATGCCTTGCAAGAAGTTACAAATAGCACCAGGCCCATCTGTGGATCACATTTATGCGTAGAAATTTCATCTTGCCAATATTTCTGATTGGAACCTGAAACCCTGTTGTGGCTTCAGGAGCAAGGATTAGTAGCAAGAGCCTTGTTCACTCACTTATTCTTTTCACCTCAGATTTCAGAAACCTCAGTGTTTGTAGAGCCTCTGTAGCACACAGCAGCTTCAGGGCCAATCACAGAAACCAAATTCCTCAAAGCAAGCTCTCAGATTGAAAATTGCATGTGATTCTGCAGAGGCTTGTCTTTTGTGGGAAGGTGATGGCATGGTGTTCCATGCCCCAGAAGGCCAGCCCCAGTCTGGAGGAGGCCAAAACAGATTGTCACAGAGGGCCTGAGCAGGAAGGAGGGCAACGGGAAGAGAGAGCGGCTGCAGGGCGGGAGCCCCAGCGGTCATGCTCCTCCCGGAGCGAGTGCACACAGACGTGAGAAGCAGAAGCAAGATGAAAGCATGCTCTTAGAGGTGGGAGAGGCTGAGAATGGCTGGGAGAGGGTCTCTGAGCACAGTCCCCAGTGAGGGTGGCTTTCGCATGGAGCCCACAGGCCCACTCACTGGGCTTGATGGAAGAGGTGCAGGTGGTGGCCGCTGCCTAGCATAGTCAGTGTCTGAGTCACCCTGGGCCTTCATTCCAGGAGGGGCGCACCCGAGGGGCCCGCTGCGGTCCTCCCCATACCTCAGCGTCTGGAGGAAGGACACTTGTTTGAACTCCATGCTTGGCCATCACCTGACTGTGCCCAGACTCCCCAAGAAGAAGAGGAAAAACTCCAAAACAAACCAAATACAGATCTTGAAATAATCACTGATTTAAAAAAAGATAATGAGAATGATGACGATTATGATGATCATAAGGGAAGTGACTGCTAGAAAACGCTGTTGAGATAATACAATTTCGTAGAAAAACCCCAGTTATAAAACAGCCAATCTGCGAGGGTTGGGGGCGCAAATGCACATAAGCTGTGATATCGTACCATATGCTATAAATGCAGCTGTCGACACACTGGGCAAACCTCCCACCGTCCCCAGGTAAGTGCCCTGCCCGCAGGCACGCCTGGCTCTCACATCGAGGCCTTCCTCCCCCCACACCTCCCCTTCCGTCTTTCATACAATTTTAGCTTTCCTCCAGTGGCTCTAGTGGAAAGTCCTTTTTGGCTGTGTGCTTACTTGTTTAAAGCTTTCTCCAGGTATTCCTGAATCCACTTCAGTTTCGGGTCAATGCACACTTGTCTGTTGTTGCTCTTCAGCCTTGCCCTGCCAAAACAAGAGGTGACAGTGTGCAGGTGGCCGGGAGGGGAGGAGGCAATGCTACAACCTGTGCATCTGCTGGTCCGGCATCCACATCCAGGACCCTGACTGGAACCAGGGTCCCACTTGGCAGGCTCAGGGTCAGAAGGAGCTCAGGTGTGCTTGGGAACACAATGTGATCAGTGTGGCAAGCTTCACAGCAGAGATATGGGAAGTGACAAAAGTCTGTAGGGGGCACTCCATGGAGAGCTCCCATAGGGATCATTCGCATTGGACACCAAAGGATAAGTAGGAGCTGGGCAAGTGACGTAAAGGGGGCTGGTGAAGCAGGAGCAAATACACCAGCGGGTAACAGCACACAGAGGGTGAAGGGAGAGTGGGGGACTGGATGCTCGAGAAGCCTGTGGCAGATGGAAGGGCAAAGGAAAAGGGCTCTGTCTGCAGGATTATGGGAACGTGTGAGACTTTAAACTGGGGCGTAACAGAAGCAGATTTTTATTTTGGTATATCATCCTGATAGTACATGGAAGACACACTTAAGTGTAAGCCTGGGGGCAGGAGGCCTGCAAAGGGAGAAGGGGATAGTCTGGAGAATGGGGGAGAGGTGGGAGTGCAGTGAAGACAGGCCGTGTGGGCTGGGGGAGGGGTAGTGTAGGTAATTTGCCAGAAAACGGTTTCCAGAGAGATTTTACAAGTTCACCGAGTGTCCCATGGTCTCATTTGTTTTCTAAAAGTTTCTCGCACTTCTCACCTCCACTCACAGCCTCTCTGACTGAACACTCCAGGAGGACCTGGATGCCTGGACAGGGCATCCCTCTCCCTAAAGCCCTGGGTACCAGGTAATCTCAAGCAGCCTAAGGACACTCCTAGCCAGCCACTCACAGGTCTGTGAGGACAACTAAGGCCAGCACAGTGGCTCTGGGACACCCACAGGTGTCTGCACACAGCCTGCCTGTTAGTGAATGAGGCGTGCAGAGGGGTGTAGCTTGAAGCAAGGTGGACAGAAGTTCAAATCTGGGTCCTGCTGTTTATTAACTTTGTGTTTGCCCAGACCTGAAAATTATATTTGACTTCTTCAACTTCAAGGTGCATCTGTAGGCAAGTGATCCAGCATAATCTGTATGGTAAAGTAGGCCCATACCACTAATTTCAGTATCTGATCAACACCTCTCAAAGGACAGGTAATATTTTATTATAAGCAAAGCAAGTGAAAAGAACATGAATCTCCTTGTGCCTTAAAACATTTGTAAATGACAAACACATCACGGCAGCAAAGGCTAGAAAACAGGACAATGAAAATCAAATCTAAAAACAGTTGGCATTGGGCAGAAAAGTCTTTAGGAAGTTGCAGCTTTCATTCTATTGTAACTGCTGTATCCCCATCAGTTAGCAGCACTGGGGCTTTTCAGGAGGTGGGCTCTCCCCAGGAGACACACAGCATCTCCTCCCTGGTGTCTGGACACACAAACGTGCTGTGTACAAGCACGAGTGCTCAGGCACACTTGGGGGCCAAGTGATGGGTAGCTGAGCGTGCTACCCACCTCGTTTTTTACACACCTCGTGCAGCCTCCTGCACTGAAGTTCAGGCGATCTCTGTCTCACGTATGTGTGATTTTGGTTTGTCTCCTTTCCCACATGAATGCAATCAAATGTTAGCCACAGCAAAACCAAAAACTCATGTGTTGTGTTTGAGAAACTGCAGTTAAGTGAGATGATACTTTTGAGTTTTACCAAATGCTTAAAGATGACTACAACTGAATTTGGGTCTTGTGAGTTTGCGCTTTGTGAGAAAGGATTCATTGAGAGCACCAGAGCCCTAAAACTGGCAGGACAGACAGAATCATAACTAGTCACGGGCTGGCTAATTTACTTAAGCACAGACTGGTGAAGCCTGTTTCTCCAGCCGGAGGTGCATTCAAATGGGCTGCCATTACCTGTGCTGCAGGGAGGCACCTGGAAAGAAGAGACAGGACCACGGTGAGCACAGCAAGAGCCCAAGGGTCAGGGTGGCTTTGAAAACTACTGCCTGTGGTATACTCAAGGTCCTTGTAGTAATAACAGCTGCCTCTAATTTTGCCAAGTTCAAGTCTGGACACTTGACATGCATCATTTCTCTAGCTTTACCAAGTCTGCCCGTTAGGTGATACTGTGCCCACTCGATGCCGCATTCCTAGATGATGCTGCTCCAACTTACACGATCTGAAGGGCACAGTTTGGAGTGGTAAGGATCTTGATATGCTTGACGTTGGCTCTGGCAACGTGGCTCTCGAAGAATCGGCAAGGACATCTGTAGCTCAGGCTGACTGGTTTCCCTAGAAGAGATAATGAGAACAAGGCGGCCTCTTACTATCTTGCCAGGCCTCAGAGATATACACGTGTCTGGCTCTGTAGCCCAGGGAGAAGCTGGTGGAATGATGGGAGGATCGACAGCAATGGGATAAGTCATGAATGCGTCCTGGCAAAGACCTTCTCCTTGGACTCAGCTTCTACAGGGCAAAAGGCCAAAAGGATCTATGGACAGACGAACCCTAGGAGGGAGGGTGGGGAAATTAAAATAAGAAGCCCCTGATCAGATAGATTTCTTAGGATACAGGATGTTAATCACAGGAGAGAACTGTTCCAGTCCAAGGTACTGGGGTTGCTACTTATTCTTCGCAAAATTAACCCCTCCAGGGCCAACTAAGAAAACAATTCCTAATCAGAACAGAGGGGGCATAAGGAGGCGCCAGGCTCCGCTCCTCTCTCCTGGGCCCAGGCCTCATCCCTGGAGCCACCCCACCTCTCCTGGGAATGCTGCCCTCCCCCACCTCCCCCACCTGCAGACTTCTTGCCTCATATTCACCTTAAGCCCAGGTATCCACAAAAGAATACAGACTGGCTTCCAACCTGGGAGTCCCCAAGGGGCAGGCCAGGGGTCCATTTTCTCCCCAGCACTTCCCAGAAGGCACAGAGATTATCAGGGCTGGAGTCAAATGTGGCTTTCATTGCCTGTGCAGAGACCCTACAGCCTCCTGGGTTATATTACCTCTTTGTTTGCTAATTCACTAGTTTGCAAAATGCCATAATTGACACTCATTAGTGTAAATTAGCAAAGGGCTCCTGCAAAACCCACTCTCACCCTTTTAGTCTAGAATTGCAAACCCTGGAGGGTTGGGACTTGAGAGCGTTTTTCCTGCAGATTTTATCCAAGTCCTACTTAATAACCCAAATTATTTGAGTTTGTGGATGCTTTCATCAGGGATTAAATGTATGTCTGAGAATCTTTAGTCCAGAGATTTTTTTTTTTCTTAAGTGCTCCTATTTACAGAGCCCCCAGAGGCCTCCTGGTGGTTCTGAACTTCTGTACTTTTGGGCAAGAGAGCTGGGGAAGCTACAGGAACACTTGCAAGTGAGGAACTTCTTAATTATTTTTTCCCTAAAGGCTGCATTCAGTTGAGAGATGGCATGGCCTGGGTACAGCAGCCTATTTAGCCACCAAGTCCAGGGATAAAGCAGACCATCCCTCCTCCCCAGGACCAAATTTGACACCCTGAAAACCAGGAGGAAGGAGGCCTGGCTTGGGGCACTCGGCTGACTCACAGTGCTGGACAGCCCCTGAGCGCCTTCGCATGTACCCCGATTTAACTCTCCACTGGGCCTGGCTTTTGGCAACTGTACCCAGTGCCTGCAGGGAATGCCTGTACTGCCCTGTAACCAGATCACCTGGGAAAGCCACCCCAGGGCTGGGGGCTGGGCAACCTGAGTAAAGGAGGAACCAAAATCTGGCCTTCGAGTGTCCAGCCTCCAGGTTCCCCTCAAATTCTCATGGGTCCTCCTGAGCTGAGCAGGGACTGGGCTGGTGGTGAGGAAGAACAGGCCCCAAGCGTAGACCAACAGGGAGCCGGAAGATACAGGTGTGAGTGCTGTGGCCGCTGGGGGCTGTTGCTCTGCAGTGTCCAAGGAGCTGCTCTGGCTCCACTAACCATGCAGTGGGGATCAGGCCAGAAATCAGAGCAGAACCTGAGCTCAAAACACAGGCTTTCTCTTTTTCTCTTCTTCCCCCCCTTCATCCCCTGGGATTATCCATTCTTTCAAAAGCAATTCTTATGCCTGCTCCCAGGATCCAGTTGCTTGCCTATCAAGTGGGGAATTTCAGCAGGTTTTTTAAAGTGACAGAGCCCCAAGTGCCCTCTCCAAGAGAACTCGGCACTGAGTCCACCTGGTGTCCTTTCCTCCAGCTTTCTGTCAATATTACTAACTTCTGCAACTGGATGTGGCAGGAAAGATACCTGATTAGCCCAAATGTCACTGGGGGTTGGGACCTGGTGACCTTGGCTTTTTTTCAGAGCAGTAACCACAGAACTTTCTACTCTAATGGAGAGACAGGAGACCAGCAGGCCTGGCAGGAATGGGGCCCACCCTGGGTTTAACCTCTGGAAGCCCAGCCACCCAGCGGCCCAGCTGCTTGGCTGAGGTCAGCCAGTGGAGGGAGGGCAGGAGCCCTAGTGTGAGCCTCAACACGGGTGTTTCCGAGGTGCAGCTTTGGGCCTCAGCATGGGTACACTGGCTCCAGGAGTTCAAAAAGTGCACTCTGGCCTTGGCATGCAAGGAGAACCACACTAGCGTGGAGCCTAGGACCCTGACCTGGCCACCTGGCTGCCAAGAGGAGCAAGCAACCACCCCTTCACAGGCAGGGTCAGGAGGAGTCTGGGGATGTGCTGCTACCAGGTCAGCTATGCCCAGGACTCAGTGACCTGGGTCCCTGCATTTAGGTCCTTTCTGCAGCTCCCCAGGGGAAGGAGAAGCTAGGAGCAGCACCATTTCCCCAGAGAGGTGTGCAATGACACCTCCACTCTCACCAGACCTCTCAATTGTTAATGCCCAAATCAGAGTGCCCCCATGACCTGGGAGTCACTGAGGAGACTCAGCTTAGGAAACTTTTTCAGCTCCGAGAAAAACTCTAAGTTATCTTTGATCTGGTCCCTCTGCAGATCTGACCAATTTGCTACACTTTTAAAGAACACTTCCCAGGGGTCAACCAAGAATCCCTGTTAGCCCAGGCTGCACTGCCTGGCCCAGTCCCACGCATGCTCATTTTACCCACACTGGTTTCCTGACCACCACGGGACAGAATGCAGCAGGGGTCTTACCGAAACCCAGTCTCCTGCTCCAGGAGGTCTGGCCCTGCACAGACCTCAGCTGCACCAAGAGCACTCAGAATGTCCTTCAACCTTTTGCAGAGTTTGTTGGAAACTTCACAGCCAAGAACAGAACTGGCAGCATGGCCTAACTAACATGGTTTTGTTTTGTGTGTTCAGAAGCAACAGTTTATTTTGGTTTGCAGCAGCAGCGGTATCCTGTGACAGGGCAGTGAGATTCTCTTAAGCTTCAATAGGAAAGAAAAAAAAAAAAAGCTGTCTCCCTCTCTGCGTGAAATTGGACACCACCTTGCCCAGTGGCTCTATGGCCTTGGTGAATGAACTTTGCGGTAGTGCTCATTCTGAGGTGGAGCACTAGCTTGGCTGGCGACAAAGGCGCCTGTCTGCAGGTGTGTTTGCAGGGCTAGGGCATGCGCGACCCGGACCGACCCTGGGCCTCTCTAGGGTGACCCCGGGAAGAGGCCCAGAGGCAGTGGCTGAACGGCCCCAGGTACGTCGCGTCACTGAGGACCGCCAAATTGAGCAGAAGACGGGCCGCGTGGGGAGTGCGAACCCGACAGCTGCTGGGTACATCCCGCCCGCGGAGCCTGGCTTGAGGACTGCAGAATGAGGGCCGGCCTTGCGTGGAGGGGCGGCCACCGGGCTGCACGCCATCGCACCGCCACCACAAGCACAAGGCGATGCGAGTCAAACTTTGCCTGGAGATCCCTCCCACATCAACCGCGGATCGCATCTCCAGCTCCGTGCGCAGCGCAACCTCGGGGCCCATCCGCCTCTGGAAACCGAGCCTGGCGCGGGAAGGCACTAGCTGTCGGGTCTGCCGGCAAGGGCCAGGGACCCGCGCCCTCCCCCGCCCCAACCCCCCATTCCAGGGCTCCGACTCAAGAAGGTGCCCAGGGCGTGCCCAACCAGTTATTCTGCGGGACTTCGCTCTGCAGCCGGCTCTAAGTCTGGCGGCCGCACGGCTGTCCTAGAACTCGAGACTGGCTGTGGAGAGCAAAGCCTTAGTGTTGTGGCGCTGCGCGCGGGGGTCCGGACGCTGCATCCCTAGGGGGTGCGCCCTGAGAAATGCGCTATGTCGCCCTATGCAAAGCAGCGCGAATTGGATTTGCTCGGGGCAGCGCGGGAGCAGGCGGAAGAGCCGCGGCCCTGCACAGAGCCGGGAGCCCGAAGCCCGGGTCCCGCTCAGCCTACGGCGCCAAGCGCACTCACCGTCGCTGAGGCAGAGCGCAGCCAGCACGAGGGCCAGCACCGCGACGACCTTGGCATCCATGGCACGGGCGGGCGGCGGCGACAGGAGAACCAAAGACGGAGGCTGAGCGAACGCAACGGCAGAGAGTGAAAGTGCGGCGGCGAGGAGAGAGCGCCCAGCGTTTTAGAGGCGAAGCGGGGCGGGGAGCGGGGAGGGGCGGGGCGCGCCGCGAGGGCCGGGCCTGGAGCTGAGTCCCCGGGATGGCCAGGGTCTCTGCCCGGCGTCCCTCCCCCACAACCCCCCGCGCCCCCAACAGGGCCTCTCCAACTGTCCTCTCCCTACCACCCCTCCTCCGTGCCAGGGGCGCTCCTGGGGCTGTGGTGTGCTCAGGTCTTTGGCCTTCTCGGGTTCCATTGGGCCCTGCTCTGTAAGTTTGACTTGCAGTGAGGAGCCAAGCCCCACAGTGAGGATGGCCTGAAGGGCTGGCTATTGTTCCCATTGTCCAGATGGAGACATTGATTTCCATAGGCTAGAACTGAATGAGACGAAGGAAAAGCAAAGTCGGTCTTAGGGGTGAGGGCTGATGGGGGGTGGGCAGCATCTGAAGTAGCTAACAGTGTCCTGTTTTCAGAGTATAGCACCTCGATGTGACCACCGACCCAGGCTCACTGGGCCATGGCCCCAAAGCTCTGCCTACAATGGTATGTGATAGATCTTTGCAGTAAGAACAATTCTGATTCCAAGCCAATACTATCGCTTTACTAGCCAAGCTTCAGTTTCCTCAACTGTAAAACTGGGGCTCTAAAATATTATAGGATGCTGTGCCATCGAAAGGAAGCAAAAGCAGTTCCTTCCTAGGCTCTTAGTAAGTTTAGTTAGCCCTTTGTACCTCTGTTTGTCGACTGTGAAATGGGCTAATCACAGTTCCCACCCCACGGGGTGAAACTGGGGGAATTGAAGGAGACTCACCACCGCACCGCGAAGTGCTCAATAAGTAGAAGCTAGAAATAATTGTGTAAACTTCAGTGCTTTCTCCCACTCCCCAGGGAATGCTCCGAGGGACCTAGAGTGCTGAGCGAACTCTTCTCTCCCTGCCCTCCCTGATGGTGCTTCTGGTGTAGGCCTTCCTGGTCCAGAAAACAGCACAGAGACAACCCTCAGTGGTGTCTAGCCCTCCTGGCAGTTCTCTGGACACTCTGAGATGGCCTCAGTGGAGGTGGGAGGGGCAGGAGTGAAAACAGCGCCCTTTTGGGCCTTACTAGTGACCACAGGCTGCTCCAGCCACCTCTCCCTGCCCCTTTCGTGTAGCCAGACAGTGGAGTGGATTCTGTTCCCATGTCCCTCGAAGGTGCGAAGGTGCATAAGATGGACAGGTCTCTATCCCTGGGGAGTCCCGGAGCCCCAGTCATTGAGGGAGTGGGCAGGGCCCGCAGGGCCTGGGTTCAGCTGCTCCAGCTGGGGGCCACCCGTGGAGGCGGTCCCAGTGAGAGCTCTGTGACTCCAATCGTGGGGATGGGTGTTTTTTGTATCTATTTTTCCAAAACTACATTAGCATCCAATTAGGTGCTCTGTGAAACTACATTCTTCATTCATTCATTCACTCACTCCAGTGCTGAACCCTCTTCTGGGCACTGGAGGACATAGAGCTGGGAATTCCACTGACTTGGTTCCTGCCTGTAAGGAACTAACAATCCAGTGGAGAAAACAGTCCTCCACCTTTTCGCAGGAGAGGTGCGGCCCTCCTAGCTCTCGAGCCCCGCAGGGCAGGCTGTGGACACTTTAGAGCGGCGGCTGGGCTCGGGCGCCCTCTGGTGGTGAAGTCTTCCACCCCTCTTCCTCCAGCTCGCCCACGCTTGGCGTGCTCCCGCTGCCGCCCGCCCACGGTCTTTGTGGACCAAGGCTCAGGCTCTCCTCACATTTCTGAGAAGCCAGGTAAAGCTGTGGGCTCCGCCGTAAATGGGATGGTCGGGACTTAGGGCGGCATCATGGGGTCCGGAGCCTGGGGGAAGCCGCTTGGAGCCTTGCCTGCTAGCCTGGCCAAAGCAAAAGTCAAAGCCTCTTGCTTGCTTTCTTCTTGCCGCAAAATCAGGTGTTGCCCCAGCAGCCCACGGGAGCCACTAGTAGGGGCCCGCGTGGACTGGGAAGGAAGGGAGCCAGGCCTTCCTACCTAGAGGTGCCTTGAGACCCAGGACCGACATTATTGTGAGACACGTCAGAGCCCACCACTTTCACCATACATTTACTAAAATACTAAAATATTGAACACCTGCTATGTGCAACACACAGGCTAAGTTCTGAAATATTTATAACTCTGTACAAGCCAACATTCTGGGGGCCAGGAAACATCAGACTGTACCTTTGTCACCTGGGCTCAACCAAATTACCTCCCAAATCCAGAGCAGCAGAGTCCCCACACTTGCTCCTGCCCTTCACTTATACCACCGTCTCTGCTGGAAAGACTCCACCAAGCTTTTCTTCCTCTTTCAGGGAGCTTGGTTTCCCATCAAGGCCCAAAGAAATGCCACCTTCCCTGTGAGATCTCCCCGATCTCTCACACCCAGCATTAGAGCTGCTGCTCCTATGAGACCCCTTAGTCACATGCAGTTCAAGGTGGGAGGGAAATCAGGGCCTGGCTGTGGAGTTAGAAGGCAGGTATATCTCCATGGCCTGACTGGGTGTTATTGTTGCGAAAGCTCTGGTGCCCTGTCCAGTACCTGACCATGGCCCTCTGCCCAGCATGGGCCATTCACTCTCTCAGGGCTCAATAGTTTGGCTTTTAGGGAAGGAACTCAGTACAAGATCGAAGGTTTGCACCAAATAATTGTTTTTTTCAAGCGTGTAACAAACAAGATAACTTTAGGTGGTACTATGAAAACATTCTTTTTAAAAACATAGATTTATATATTTGTTTAACAGTAATAAGATGAAAGTATAACTGGCATATTAAAGCAGATGTTTCAGATATTGCTCAGGATTGATTTCATTCCATATTATATGATTTAAGATTTAAAGAATAAGTAGATTTAAATAACATAGCATGCGATCATATAGGTGGTCGAGAGTATGTAAAAAATCAGACAGCAATACAAAAAGATCCAAAGTTTGAAAATGCTGCCTAAATGAAGAACATTTTTTGTATTATTTGACACTTTCCTTCCCTTTTTAAACAAACCATTTGGCCCCAAAGCAGTAAAACAAAATCATAGGAGGAAGGGATGGCATTTTCTCACTCTTGTCATCCAGGTGAGGCTGGAAAAGGTTCATTAAGGAATGCTCCAGTCCTAGAAAGAGTGTGGGGACATGTGAGATCCTGCGTCCCACCCCTGGCCCTGGACATCATGTCCCTACCACTCTGACTATGAGTCCTATGAGTCCTCCTTCTCCTAGCTTTGCTGTAGCCAGGAGGAATACAGCCAAGAGATAGCTGCATGTGCTGTAATCACCACCCGCCCCCCCCCACACACACACCAACCTCTGCTCTCCCACCTTTAACATCTTGCTTGGTGTTCACAAGTAGGTGTCCTAGCCTGGGGACCAGGAGGCCCTGTGAGCCTCTGTGCTGTCATCTGTGGAGTGGGTGTACTAGCTCTCAGGGTTGGTACTGGGATATGCAAATATGAAACCACTTGACACAGAGAGGCCTTCAGGAAGATATTTACATAGAGCTTCAGCTTGCTGTCTCTCAACTTGTCACATTTGGTTCTTACAAAGACTGAACTCACAAAATAAGCCCTTATATCTCAGCTGTGAAGACAAGGAGCCCACACTCAGGGTGGTTGAAGGCCTTGGCCAACATGGCATAGCTGGACGGGGCAAAGGCACAATTCTCTGGGACCAGCGCCTGGATTCTGTAATATCAGCAAGGCCTGGGAGCTTGTGCAGGGACATAAGTCATAGACATCTAGGGTGCCTCCTCTTGGAGTCCTATACTCCGCACCAGGACGCAGAAGCTGTAGGATTGGCTATGTTTTCCTTAACTGCATCCCAAATTGGCATCAGGAGCAAGTTCCATGAACCCCAGGCCACTACAGAGGGAAGGAGCCCAGGCAGGGCTGAGTGCAGGCACCTGGCTAGCTGTGGAGCATGGCTCACCCTAGGTGAGTGTGCACACCCAGCAGGCCAGATCTCTGTGTAAGGTGGCTGTGCTCAAGGCTCCCTCGACTGACACTCCAAAAGCACGGGTGGTCTTTTCTGGGACTTCCACCAGGAGCATGGACTATCAGGGCGAATGTTCTAGGGCAAATCAGGGCCCTGAGGGGTCAAGGCTGTGCCCCCAACCCCATACCAGCTCCCACACATCGACTCAACTCTGCCTGCACCCATCACCAAAGCAGTGGAGTCAGGTCCAGATTGGCTTTGCCATCCTAACCCTACCCCTCTTTCCTGTTACCCTTGCTGCTGGCCAGACTACATCTGGGGATCCTTGGAAGTTTCTAGAATTGGAGCAGGCCTCTGTCACTACCATGAAACCCAGGTGATAGGTAGTGTGAGCCCTGGGAGGACATATAACATTTATAAAGGAATTACTCAGTGTTGGATACCTTTCACCTCTTTTATCCTCACATCTACCTATGAGGTGGATTCAATGTTAACCCCAGTTTCCAAATTTGAGAGTTAAGATCACACAGCTACTCCTTGGCAAAGTTGGGATTAAAATCAATTCAGCTTGGCTCCAGAGGAGGGCTATCCCTGGTGAAGAATAGAAGGGTGCATTTGTCACATAAAACACAGGACACCCAATTAAATTTGAATTTCAGATAAACAATGAGTCTTTTCAAAAATTTTTATTTTATTTTATTTTTAGTATGAATGTGTTCCAAGTATTGCATGGGACATGCTTATACTAAAAAGAATCATTGATTGTTTATCTGAAATTCAAGTTTAACTAGGTGTCCAAGATTTTTATTTGCTGAGTCTGGCAACCATTTTGCAGAGTCTATGCTTTTCCCATCACAAGGGAGCCCCTCTCTGTGGGCTTTCTTGCTGGGCCTTCAAGACATGTGGCAGAGAGTGGGAAGGCTACTGGGAAGGCAAATTCTGGAATCACCCACTTTCTCAGTGAGGGGATTTCTTGAGTTTCATTACAACAGAGTTTTGTCATGCTGGAAAGTGTTGCAGTAAAGCAGTACGGGGATGATCTTTTTTACTCTCCTTTCTGCTGTCAGGTCACAGCCCTGACTTTCCAGAAATCATTCTGGTCATGCCTGAGGAAAAAGAGGCATCCCAAGCCTCAGCAGCCTTCCTCGCCCTCGGGTCAGGGCAGGTGGCTATGAAGCCCAGCCTGACGCCCTTCCTTCTGTTACAGGCAGCTCGCGCACCGTGTGGGGGGAAGAGGAGGAGCCATCGTCCAGGAATGCACATCAGCAGTATCCGGCTCTGGAGGGAACTGCACACAAAGAAAGAGGGCCAGAGCCGCTGCGGTTTGTGAAGGAGGAGCTGGGTCTGCTGCCCGCACAGCTGGTCCTGCGGGCTTTTGCATCTAGAGGACGGACTTGTACTTCTTTCTCCTCCTGTGGCTGGGAGTCTGGAGTCTTGCTGCACAGACGCACTGAACAAGACTGCACACAGAGGCTGCCCAGAGAGGCTTTCAAGGCCAAGTGCAAAGGCAGGCCCCACTGGCAGCCTGGCCCAGGGGACTTAAATGGGAGATGAACTCAAGTGGGGAGCTCAGTGCATCTAAGGTACCCATCCCCCACCCCAGCAGTGCTCTGAAGCAGACTGGGGAGGTTAAGCAAATTGATCATTGAGAGGTATTTTTGTTTGGTGATATTTTATCAAATAAAAACTTTGAAAATTAGGGTCTGTGCTCCTTCCCTCCCTCCCTCCTTCCCTTCCTTCCTTCCTTTCTTCCTTCCTTCTTTTCTTTCTTCCTCCCTTCCTCTTTCTTTGACAATGCAATCCACAATGCTGACTCAGAGTTTGGGCTTCATCCATGAAGATTCACTGGCTTCCAGCTTCCAGTGACATTTCAGTTTTTACATTCCCAGAATGAAATTTCTGTTTGCAACCAGGCTGATTGATGACTGCTGCCCCCTTTGTCTCTGTGGAGTACCCAAGTTTTGCCTCCGTGTCACAGAGCCCTAGGCTGTGTCACCAAGAGGTGCTATACTGATTCCCTGAATCTGCAATCTAACCTTCCATCCATCCATCTACACTTCCACCCACACATTCATTCATCTGTCCATTCTTCTCTCCAACCACCAATTCATCCATCCATCCATCTACCTATCCACCTTCTCATCCATTTGCCTATCCAATCACCAGTCTGTTCACACATACAGATATCCACTTACCCACCCACCCATTCATCCATTCATGCGTCCATCCACCCACCCATTCACTTGGCTCTCCCCTCTGACCACTAATCTCCAGGTGCTCTAGCTCTGAGCCTTATTTCCCCCAGGAACAGAAAGACATGCCTCCTATTTTCTGGACCACAGGAGAAGAATAATCAAGCATCAAGATGCCGAAACTCACAGCTCACACAGCAAGCCCTCACCTTGAAACAGACTGAAACCTCCCCCTTCTCCTCACTGAATGGCAGGGAGAGCTTCCTGAGGAATGCCTGCCTAGGCAGGAGCTGAGGAAAGCAACACCTGAGCACTCTTCACCCTCTACCACCCAACCTATGATTTTCTTTCATTAATTACAAAAAAAGCAAAAAAAAAAAAAAAAGCAAAGAAACAAACCTTTATTTCTGTGTTTACTCCTCTGCATTTAATGAGCAGTTGTTAACATGACTGAAACCATCTGATGATTTTTGCCAAATGCAAAAATCTCCCTACAGGGGCAATAAAACAAATATTTAGGAGAGATAGAGGCCGTCATAAAAGCAATTACCCAGTTGTAAACAGAAGCGAGTGGTGGTGATGTATTACCCCTGCCTCAACAGCTTTCAACGAAGTTCTGAGATTCCAGGAGGGGCTCTGACCCGAGGCAGTATTTACTTCTGTGGCTTCTTCAGCAGGCAGTGTGGGTATAATTCTGTCTACCAGTTGACTGGAGTTGAGATTTTGAGCAGGAAGCCCAAACCCCAAGTCCGCATAACTCAGGAGGTATCAGGCACCCCTGCCCAGAGCGTGCCAAGAAAAGCACACAGGGGTGTCCTGGCCGGATAGAGTGAGGACCCTGCACATCCAGGCCATAATCAGCCTGATGGACAGCCTCAGCTTGCATCTGGGCTGGCAGCACCCCTGGTTGGTGCAGTTATCGGCTGTGATTTATCCCCAAGCGCTCCGAAGGCCCGTCTTTTTGATATAACACCACGCAGACAGTAGTCATAGCTGTATGACCATGCAACCTTGGTAGAAAGAGCCTATTCCAGGCGGCAAAGACCTTGAAGTCTGAAGGGAAATCAAAGCTTAGACTTATGCAGATGAGCATCTTTCCCCCAGGGCCAAGTGCCAAGCTGCCTCTCGAGGCAGCCACAGTCAGCCTGTAGGTCCTGTGTGCCGTGACAGCTGCAGTATGGCCTAATGCCAGACAGACCTGGATGATTGCATGGACAGGGCATACCTCTAGCTCATCAGGCTCCCCAGTAGCACTGTAGGTAAGCGTGCTCGCCCCACTCTTCGGATGCAGACTCCCAGGCTTGGAACGTGAAGGGACTTCCCAATGTGGTGTGAGCTGGTGGTGCAGACTAGACTCTGACCAGGGATCACAATAGGGCTTGTGTGTTTCTCTCCCTGGCCCTGGTCTGCGTGCGTAAGTGCCTGGCATTTAGCTGCTTTGGGCGTGTAAGTGCAGACTTTCTCTACCCCTCTACCCACCGCAGGTACATTAGCTGGTGTGGGGCATGAGTCTGTAACGTCACAGTAACGAGTCTGTAAGATCTGCCTGACAGCCCAAAGGAGGCAATTTCATAATCCTACAGAATAGCTGACCATGAAGGTCAGAATGAGGCCTGGGTCCCTTTGATCTGTGTCTGTGGCCTGCCATGGGGTCTGTAGGACCTCAGAGGCCCAGGCTGGCTGGGAGCTGCAGGGTGGGCCCCAGAATGGGCTCTCCCACTGTTCCATGCCCACCAACATCTTCCTGGGTGACTCCAGGCATGGCTCTCTGGGCTCCTGATGAGGGGCTCCCTCATCGTTGCCCTTGCAGACCCGAAATCCTCACGGCCAAGGGCACGCCCAGATGTCAAGTTCTTAGAATGGAGTGATTCAAATGGGCTTGGATCTTCAGAGAAGCTGGAAGGGGGGCAGGATCTTCTCTTCCCTTGTGGTGAAGTGAGAAGCTCTGAGGGTGACACTTTTCTGTTTTATGTAAGTGCAAGGAATACTGGCATTTATTGTTACATAATTTTAAAATGTTTGACCTCTTCTCAATTTATAGCTCTTGTTGGGTTACCAGGCAGCAGTCACGTGCATTTCTCTCTCCCTGAACTGCAGTAAGGCCAGGCTGTCATCCCCATCTTGCTCTGAGGCATCCAGGACTCAGAGATCCAGGAGGTTGCTCAGGTGATGGGTAGAGATGCAAGATGCTGGGGGTTGTCACATCCTCAGCTGCATGATTTCTACAGGCTGCTGCAGATGTTGAGGGCTGAGAGCGGCACCAGGAAGGACCCACTCATCCAGGGGTGGATTTAACCTTAGCAAGACACTGGAAAAACAATTTAATCCCAGTTGTCACTGTCTGGCTCCTGAAGACTCCCTGTGGTTCTGAAGCCACCTCAGTCTCAACATGGGCTTTTCAGCCAGGTGTCTGCACACAACTGGCCCCAGGGACAGCCCTGAAGTCAGGGAAAACAGGTTTTGAGCCCCTCTGCTCACCCCTACCCCTTTGCTGCCTTCAGCTTGGTCCCTTAATAGGTTCTGAAACGGGAGTTTGTTTTCTGTAAGCTCCAACCACTGGAATTTGAGCAATTATGGTTTCCAAGAGAACCAGCCTGTCTGCAGGCCTAGGATCCATGGGAGATGGGAGCAAAGATAAATTGGTCTCTTTACTCAGGATCAGCTCTCAATTAGCATTGGGGGAGGGGAAGAGGAAGGTAGAAAAAGACAGCGGGAAGGGCGAGGCCTGAGAGAAGGTCCAGGGAGGGAATAGTTTTCCAGGAGCAACATCTTGGCTGGAGGAAGAAGGGGCTTGTGTGTACCTGCCAGTCTGCCTTGTTGGGGCAAGCCTCTGATTCCTGGACCCCAAGGAGACCAGTAAGGGCAGGGCCAGGCTGGGGTGGGGAGGTGCCTCCTGCTTCGTCCTCCATCCCTGAACAAGAGCAGTCATCTCCCTCCCAGGCAGCAGACGTGACACCCTCCTTTTTCCTTCTCTCATTCAGTCAGCCCAGGTGTGTGCCTGTTCTTGCCCCAGAGTACATCTGGGCCAGGAGGTAGCTCAGGCTGTGAACAGCTAGATTAATTCTAGGAATGACAGGGGACCAAATAAAAATATTTAAAGAAAAATAAATAAAGAACTTGCTTACTCAGGCAGAAATGTTCCATTTTTGCAAAATTTGAACTCCATCTCCCCAGGTTGCCAGATGGTAGATGTGTTTAGTTTGCAGATAAGAAAAAGGAAAAGAAACTGCACTGGACAGAGGGCTGCCCGTCAGCCATCACAGTGGCCTGCTTCCCATTTCAGGCTCAGAAGGGCATGGTCCTCTCCCAGAGAGGAGGGACACCAGTGGGTGTCAGCGCCGAGTGCCCCAGGAAAGTGCCTTAGCCTCGCTAGCCTGCCCACTCCACCTCCTCAGGTGGCCTGGGACTGCAGTGCCCTCTGAAGGATCCAGTGAAGTGCTTAGCTGATGCGAAGTTCAGTTCAGGTCAATGCCAAGGAGAAAAGGGATGCACTCAGCATTGCAGCCAGCCACAATCTATACCCAACACCCAGCCCCTTGGACGGAACCCATTTGGCTTACGTGGCTGCAAATTTGGAATGCTTTGGAGCCCAGCATGAGTGTGAGCCCCACACTTTCTGCCTCTGTAGATCGGCTCCAGGGGTGGGGGGTGGGGGTGGTGAACGGTGAGACAGGCCAGCAGCCATGGAAGGGTCTGCATTCCTGCCCAGGAAGCCCCCTGCCTCTTGGGATGTGTTTGAGGAAAGGCACCTCCACTCTTGTCTTTGGGTGCTCAAAAGCCTCCTGGGCCCTGTCTCCACCTCATGTATTTGCTTTCCCTTAGTGGCCACACATACAAAGTCATCTTGGCGATGCCACGTCTGTAACCCTAGCAGTCACACCTGAGCGCTGGGACTGCCCCCGTTAGTCTCCAGTGCCATCCTGGGTGCCCTGCATTGATAAGGGGACATTCTCTCCCCAGCTGTCCCCTGGGCTCGTCCTCCTTCCCTTTCAGGAAGTGACTGGAGATCTGGCGGGAGCTGACCTTAAGGATACGGCTTTCATGCAGAAGTCAGAGCGGACACCCTAAACTCCCCAGAGCTCTTCTACTACCTGGAGGGGAAGTCTGTGGAGCCCACCTGGTGCCTATGTGTGGTGGCACAGCCCTCTGTTGCAGACAGACTGGGGGTCAGGGAGTTTATCACCAGTAAGTGGAAAAGATGGGATTTGAACTCACATTTGACCACAAATCCTGGGCTTTCCCTTTTCTCTGTGCTGCACAAACCCTCTCAGGGCAGGTGGAGGGGACATCTCAGTGTGCTGAGCCTGCGGTCTTGAGTTACAAGAATACGCAGCTGTCCCGGGACAGGAGCTGCGGGAAGGGTGGAGGGTGAATGAGACACAAATCACAAGGCAATTTGAACAGTTGGATGAAGGAGGGCATATCCCAGTGAAATGTCAAAGACTGCAAAAGTG